CCCCCCCCCCCCCCTCCGCCGCCTGCCTCACCCCCCATCGCCGCTCCCTGGCATTCCCACCCGAACATGCGCGCTTGCGCGCGTTTACACCGCACGGAGCACGGCCCACAGCCGCACGGATGCCAGGGCCGGATGCCGGGCCGGAGGCCAGAATGTGTTCGTTACGCCCCCCAGGCCCTGTGGGGCCCCATGTGATTGGGGGTCGGCCGACGCTCGCACCTCGGCGGTCTGCCCGCGGCGGGAGGCCAGTTGCTTGGCCTTCCATTCTCGGCCGCCATATGGTCCGGCGGCCTTCCGCCGTTGTGCGCCTCCTTCGGCCGCCGGGCGTGCTGGCAACTGCCCATGAATGGCGCGGCCCGGGAAGGGATCACGGAGCCGCACCTCGATGTTCGCATGTATCATGTGTGCTCTATTGGGGTCACGAGCTACAGGGCCTCGAAGTTCATCAGGTGGACCTTCTCCAGGCGCCGGGCGCGATGGACCGACCGCCGGGCGCCCCACCACAGGGCGCCATAGGACAGCACCAGCAGGAGCAGCACGCTGGCGGCCCCGACGCACACGGTGACCACCAACGAGGGGGGCGGCGCCGGGGGGAGATGCTGCGTCAGGAGGGCGGCGCCAGGGGCGGCCGGAGTCCCGCCGGCCAGGGCACGTTGCTCCCGGAGCCGGACCAGTGTGTTTGGAAGGACGCCCTCCAAGACGACCGGCAGCGAAGCAGGCTGCATGCGGGTGTGGGTGAGGGCGTGTGAGCGGGAGCGGGTGGAAAAGGAGAGAGGACAGGAGGGGATAGAGGGAGGGAAATACAGAGAGAGAGGGGGAGAGAGAGAGAGAGAGAGAGAGAGAGAGGAGGAAAGATAAGAACGTAAGGACATAAAGGGGAAAAAAAGAGCGAGGATGACTTGGAGAGTCGGAGAGATCTGACGCACCTCTGCGCGCCGGCCGGCCGACGGCACGGTCACCGAAACTTGGGCCACCACACCAAAGGCTGGTGTCCGGCCGAAGAGCCCGACGGCCACGGCTCCCGGGCTCTGGCGCCACGTCGGGCGCGAGGCGGCCGGCCCGTGTCCCAAGCAATCCGGCCCCCGCGAGGTGTAGTGGCAGAAGGCCCACGCCGGGTCGGCCAGCGGTGGGCTGCTGCTCCAGCTGGCGTAGGTGCTCTGCGGCTGGATGGTCACCAGGGTGTGGCTGATGTCCCCGGCCCCGGGAGCGGGGGCTCCCTTCATGGGACGCCCGGCCGATGGGAGCGAGGGAACCGACACGCGAGCCGCCGCACCGAATGCCGGGGACTATTGCCCAGTGGGAGCGCATCGGACCGGTTAGAGCTGGGCAAGCACCATGGCAAGCGCCTGCCAAAGAGGACGCAGCAGCGACGAAGGCAAAGCGCACCGGCACCAGGACCTTCAGGAAGTGGCGATGGCGGAAGAGTGCCGTGTCGGCATTGCGCAAGACAAGGAGCGCGCCATCGGCGGGCGCCGGCACCAGGCCCGAGGTTGCGGCCCGGTGG